AACATCTTAACCAGGGACCTCCTTCTTGCTTTGCTTCTTTAGGTGCACAGATTTTAGTATGATTATCCTATATTGTATGTCTAGTATCCACTTATAAGTGAGTATATAAAATATATGTCTTTCTGCTTCTGGGATAGCTCACTCAGGATGATCTTTTCTAGTTCCCAACAGTTGCCTGCAAGTTTTATGATTTCCTTGTTTTTAATTGCTGAGTAGTATTCCATTGTGTAAATGTACTACAATTTCTGTATCCATTCCTCAATTGAGGGACATCGGGGTTGTTTCCAGATTCTGGCTATTACAAAGAAGCCTCTTACAAACATGGCTGAGCAACTGAGCTTATTGTATACTTGAGCATATTTTGGATATATGCCTAGGAATGGTATAGCTGGATCTTGAGGAAGCAACATTCCCAATGTCTGTGAAAGCACCAGATTGTTTTCCAAAGTGTTTGTAGAATTTTCATTTTCAACAGCAATGGAGGAGGGTTCCCCTCTCTCCACATTCTCTCCAGCATGTGTTGACACTTGAGTTTTTGATCTTAACCATTATGATGGGTGTAAGGTAAAAATCTCAGGGTCTTTTTTATTTTCATCTCCCTGATGACTAAGGATGTTAAGCACTTCTTTAAGTGTTCCTCTGCCATTTGATATTCCTCTATGGAGAATTTTCTGTTTAGCTCTGATCCCCATTTTATAATTGGATTACTTGATTGGTTGCTGTTTAACTTCTTGAGTTCTTTATATATTCTGGATATGAGCCCTCAGTCAAATATAGGGTTGCTGAAATACTTTTCCCAATCTGTAGGCTGCCATTTTGTTATGATGACAGTGTCTTTTGCTTTACAGCAGCTTTTCAGTTTCATGAGGTCCCATTTATTGATTGTGGATCTTAGAGCCTTTGCTGTTGGTGTTCTGTTCAGGAATTTGTCTCCTGTGCCAATAAGGTCAAGGCTCTTCCCCACTTTTTCTTCTACTGATTTAGTGTGTCTTGTTTTATGTTGAGGTCTTTGATCGACTTGGCCTTGATTTTTGTGTATGGTGATAAGTATGGATCTAGCTGCATTTTCTATATGTAGACATCCAGTTAAACCAGCACCATTTGTTGAAGATGCTGTCTTATTTTCCATTGTATGGTTTTGACATCTTAGTCAAAAATCAGGTGTCTACAAGTGTATGGGTTTGTTTCTGGTTCTTCTATTCATTTCCATTGATCTACCAATCTGTTTCTATGCCAGTACCATGCCATTTTTATTACTGTTGCTCTATAGTACAGCTTGAAATCAGGAATAGAGATACCTCTAGAAGATCTATTATTGTATAGGATTGTTTTAGTAATTCTGGGTTTCTTGTTATTCCATATGAAGTTGAGAATTTTTCTTTCATGTTCTGTAAAGAACTGTGTGGGTAACTTGATAGGAATGTATTAAATCTATATATTGCTTCAGAACATGTATTTCTATTTTTATTTTTTAATATTAGTAACAGTTTTTAACTTTGTATTTCAGAACATGTTTTTTTTAAAGAAGTTATTTATTTTTTTATTTTGTATGCATTGTTGTTTTGACTGCATGTATGTCTGTGTGAGGGTGTTGGATTCTGGAACAGGAGTTACAAACAGTTGTGAGCTGCCCTGTGGGTGCAGTGACTAGAATTTGGGCCCTCTGCAAGAGCATTCAGTGCTCTTAACTGCTGCACCACATCTCCAGCCCTCTGCCTCCATTTGTAGTATGAAGCTTCTCCCTGTCAACCTCCCATTCTTGGTGGCATCATCTCCACACAATGTGCCAAGCTAGTCTTTCCTGGTTTCCTTCTTAAGATTTACATAATAGAGGTTGGAGAGATGGCTCAGCACATAAGAGCACTAGCTGCTCTTTCAGAGGACACAGGTTCATTTCCCGGCATAAATATGACAGCCCACAACTATCTGTAACTCCAGTTCCAGCGGAATCCAACACTTTCACAGAAATATATATGTAGACAAAACACCAATGCACATAAAATACAAGGTAATAAATTATACAAAAATTCAAAAACAGATCTATGTAATGTTTAAACTATTTCTTTTTAAGAACTTTAACCTGGGCATAATGACACATGCCTTCAATCCCAATACTGGGTGAGGCAAGTTCAGATAGATCTCTGTGAGATTGAGCATAGCCTGGTCTACAGAGAAAGTGTGTCTCAAACAAAACACAACAAAACAAAACAAAACAAAACAGAGCCAAACAAACAGTGTGTACCATTGAGTATTATGAGTGTCTTCTCGAGGTCAGAAGTTAGCTTCAGAAAATGGGGTTGCAGATATCTGAGAGCTGCCGCATCAGTCATCTCTCCAGCCCTTTCTCGTTGCACTTTGTTTATTGAAAATAGATATTTTTTTCATACAGTACATTCTGATAATGGCTTCTTCTCTACCAGCTTCTCTGTGATCCTCCCTACCTACATTCTCTTCCATCCCAATCCACACTCTCTTCTCTTCCCTTAGAAGACAAACAGGCACCTAAAGAATAATAAGAAGGATCCAGGGGGTTGGAGAGATGGCTCAGTTGTTAAGAGCACTGTTTGTTCTTCCAGAGGTCCTGGGTTCAATTCTCAGCATCCACAGGAAGCTCACAACCATAATGTGATCTGATGCCCTCTTCTATCATGCAGGTGTACATGCAGAGGAGCACTCACAAACATAAAATAATTAAATCTTAAAAAGGGAAAAGAGAGATGTTAGAAAACATGTGAATGTGAAGGTTACACTCAGGTTCACAAATCACACCCCGAGATCGGTTCCACGTGGGAGGTTTATTAAGGGAAAGGGGGATAGGGGAGCAGAGACAGAGAAAAGAAGAGAGAGAGGGAGAGAGAGGAGAAGAGAGAGGAGAAGAGAGAGGAAGAGAGAGAGAATCAGGGAGTGGAAGAGGAGGAAGAGAGAGAGAAAGGAGAGGGTTCCAGTTCTCTCATAGGGTGATCAAGGGCATGCGCAGGTAATTCCAGGTGGTCAGGGTGGCTTCACAAATGCCTGATAACTGGTCTAACTGGGGCTGCCTGTAGAAGTGCCTGCTTACTGATCACAACAAGAGAGAGGGAGCCAGCTGTGGTGGTACATGCCTTTAATCCCAGCACTCAGGAGACAGAGTCAGGAGATCTCTATGAATTGAGTCCATCATGGTCTACAAAGTGAGTTTCAGAACAGGCAGAGTTATACAGAGAAACCTTGTCTCAAAAAACTAACCCACAAACAAACATACAAACGAACAAACAAAAAACACAATACCAGAAATAGAATTCTAAGAAAATAAAACAAAAACAAACAATTCAGAATAAGAGAAAATAGATAAACCAATATAGGAAATAATACAAAGATAAAGCATAAGGAGTTGGTCTGGTGGCACTCTTCTGTAACACCAGCACTCAGGAGGACAGAGGCAAGCAGATCTGTGAGTTTGAGGCCAGCCTGAGGCCAGGACAGCTAGAAGCTTTGGCTCACATAGTAATTCTCCCAGCAAGAACCCTTAGGCAAGAAGATCCCTGTGAATTGGAATCCAAGTTAACCTTACATACAGAACAATGTTGTCAGAACACAATCCAAAAGCAAGGACAACAAGAGGAAATAGAAGAGTAAATAAGCACCAAACCATAAATGTAAGGTTAGGGAATCAGTAAGTGGACACATGATTTTCATCCTATTCTGTTTTTATTGTGTTTGCATTGACACTGAATGCTTGATTCAATCTAGAGAATGAGAAAACCCAAGGTGGGATTAAGTGTCTGGACTCAAATATGCAAGCAGATGGCAGCTTGTGGTTGGGAGGTGAGGCTGCAATAGGGCTGGGCTGAGCAGGGTGGTATATAAAGGCTTCAGGGAGACAGAGGAGTCATTCCCTCAGTGACCTGAAGATTGTGGTCTTAGCCTGGCTCTGCTGAGATCCAGAGACCCTGTGCTCATCAGTGTTCAGGACTGGTAAGTCACTTTGATCCAAAAGGCCAGGGTCCCTCAAAATAGAGAGGTTTGGCCCAAAGTAGGAAAGTCATTTATTTATTCATTTGTTCATTTATTTCCTTATTTATGTTTCCAAAGGCTTTATTTTTCTGGATGTGTAGAATTTAAAACTACCTTTAAAATTTGTAATGATTTTATTGATTATTGGGGAATGTCACATCATTGAACCCTGAGCACACTCACTTCCCAGTCCACCCTGGTCAACCTCCCCACTTGCCACCAACCAAAAAAAAAAAAAAAAAAAAGAAAGAAAGAAAAAGAAGGAAACTCAGTTTGTGAGGCCAATATATTCACTGGAATGTGAGCAAACTTCAGGTGGCCAGCCTCTTAGGGAAACATGAATCCTTTCCCACCTGCCACCAGCCAGGTGCCATCCCCTGAGGGCAGCTATCTTTCTTCATCCTTTCCACAATGTTGAGTAGCTGTCTTTGGGACAGGATTGTTCTTTCCTGTGTCTTCAGATGAACCTACTGAAGAAGATTGGATTTAAGTTCAGGTTTTGACACAACTTTAAATAATGCAGGATGGAGTGTCAACCCCATTTCCAGGATTATGAAAGTTTTTCACAGGCAGATTCTATATTTTGGAAAAAAAATTTTAGGATGGGTGTGTAAACTTCCCATGCTCTGTGCTTGGGGACTTGTCACATGATCTGTGTCTGGTTGGCACACAAAGATGGTATTCAGCATTCAGACTGCTAGGGGCCCTACCCAGTGGTGATGGGATTGAGTGGGGCATTGGTTAGGGTTGGAAGGAAGACTGAGGAATGTGTAACCCTGGGTGTACTTGTAAGAGGCTCCTCGTATTCCTGTCAGTGAGAGAGTTTTGTTTGAGACTTACAGTGAGGATAATGGATTAAGTTGATATTTCCACCAAGGACAGAGCAGTAACCTTGCCTGATCTTGAGTGGTTCCTGTGATGGTGAGGGTTCTTTTTAAACTTGATGCTGACAATGTATTTTTCCCTAAATGCCTCCCCAGGACCCTTCTGACTGAAGACCTTCCAGGATGAGTGCTCAGACTCCACCCACACTCCTGAAGCTGGCAAGGCAGGCTCTGCTGAGAGATGAGACCTTGGACATGTCAGCTCTGAACAAAGTGCCCATGGAGCTCTTGCCAGCACGGTTCAAGGAGGCCTTGACTGGCAGACATACTATGACTGTGAAGGCAATGGTGGCAGCCTGGTCTTTTCCCTATCTCCCTGTGGGGGCATTGATGAAGACTGCTGACTTTGAAACCTTCCAGGCAGTTCTAGCAGGAGTAGACATGCAGCTGCAAAGAAAGATTCACTCCAGGTAAGTAATAAGCCAGTAGTTTGGAATGGAGCCCATGGATAAAAAGGAAGCATTTGTGGGGTTATGGAAAATGACTTCTTCATGAGGCTTTTGATGGATCATCAGATAGGGATGCAAGGGCCTTGAAAGCTTTTTTTGCTTGCCTTACAAAAGGTTAGCTGTGGTCAGAGCTGGGAGTAGATATACCCACACATTGATATGAGTCTTCCCTGTAGTCCCACAATCACTAGTGATGGGACTAAGGAGTAATAGAGTCACTGGGAGGAAGGAAAGTTATCAGGACTATATGTGCAACACATGGAAGACTTCTGCAGGCTGCATACTGGATGCTGGAAAAAAAATAACACTTCATCAGGAGTTAGAGTTGAGATTAGAGATGTGGAGGAAATGCTGGGTTGGTGTTGGGTTTTGCCATATAGCTGACACTTCATATGTGTTCCTCACAGGAGGAGAAAACTTCAGGTTCTTGACCTGAGGAAGAAGCACCATGAATTCTGGAGCATATGGGCTGGTGCAGAGGATGGTGACTGCTCAGCAGAGGCCCCAGATGAGCAGCAAGTAGTGAAGGTCCTTCCAAGATATGCACTGAGGTGGTGCCTTAAGGTGGTAGCTGACCTTTGGCTCGGGCCATGTATAGATGAAGAACAATCATGCTTATTGAATTGGGCCCAGCTGAGAAAGAGCTCTATCCAGTTCTGCTGTATGGAGATGAAGATCTGGGCTCTGTCTTTGTATGTTACCGGAGGAGTCTTCAATGTTTTCCGTGCAGAGCACATCGAGGATTTGGAACTGATCATGATCAGTTGGGATGTGTTAAAGCTGTCACAACTTGCTCCTTGCCTGGGCCGGATGAGAAATCTTCGCAAATTCTTCCTGGCACACATATTCAAGAATGTCTTCATGATTGGCAACAGGACAACAGACAAAGAAGAGAAGTTTGTCAGGAAGTTCATTTCTCAGTTTTACAAACTCAACTGTCTCCAGTATCTCTCCATGAATGGCATCTACTTTCTTAGAGACCACCTGAATCTGGTTCTTGGGTAAGTAAGGGTAAGGGCTGGGTCAGGTGCCAGAGCAGACATTTCTTTAATTTTAAAGAAATTTTCATCTTCCTCCATTTCTTTACGGATAGCCATGATCTGTTTGGTTTTATCTTCCTCTAATTCTTTACGTATTTTATTTGTTTCCTCTATTATCCTCTTTATCAACATAGATGTAAGGTCATCTTCTTGATTTTCTATTATGCTGCATTGTCCAGGGCTGTTCACCCCTGTGTGGCTGGGTTCTGGAGATGCCATATTGCTCTGTCTTCTGTTGGTTGAGCTTTTACGCTGACCTCTACCCATTGGGCTGATTTAGGTGTTGGCTGTTAGTTTCTGTGCTTCCTGGAGTCCTGAGGTAGGGAGAATCCCCTTGGCCAGAAGATGATTTTTCCTGAAGGAGTCCTTCTCTGCTTTTTGGTTATGGTCACTGTATGGCCAGTGTTTCTCAGGAGTTGCCACTGCTCACCTCAGGTTTATAGCCCTGAGTAGTAGCTGTGGTCTATGTTAGGCAGGGTAGGATCTCCTCTTACCCATAGAAGTTCTCAAGAGAGCTGCCCCACTGCTGGGTTTCTTGTTATAAATTTAGTGTGCTGCTGCTCAGTAAATTTCCAGGTACAATCCTCTTGAAGAAGAACCTGCTGATTCCCTAGCTGTGGGGTTTTCTCCGAAGAGGGAACCTCAGTCTGTTATCCTGGGGCGCACAGTTCTGTCCGGGAAAGTGAGAGGTGCACTCAGCAAGTCTCTGGGCCAGAGGCTGATTGCTCCGCTCTGGACCTGGAGAATGTGCACCTAGGTTGAGTTGGCGCCTGGGTGTACTGCTCTGGTCTGGAGGCTGGGTGCCTCACTCTGGACCAGTAGCTGTGTTTCCCTGTCTTGGATGGCGGCTGCAGGCACTTCTCTGGTCCATACGCTGTTGGTACAGCCCTCTTGAAGGACCAGGGATTTCCACGGTTTTGACAGTCTAGCTGGGGATAACTGGTTGATCCTTGGCACAGTATCTGAGGGCTGCTGTAATGGCTCTCTGGCTTTTGTAGATCTGAGGATGCAGCTGTGTGTCCCAGTGCCGTAGGGGAACTCAATAATGGCAGGAGAGCACAGTGTTCCTGCCGCATTAGAGCCTAGAGTCTGCGTGATTCCAGGAAGTGTTTTGGTGCTGGGTGTTCTAAGCGTTAGAGCTGATGATCCCCTCCGCTGGGGGTTTCCTCCTGCCAGAGACACGCAGTTTTTGCTTTGGGGACCGCTGTTCTGTCTGTGGTGGCGAGTAGAACCCACAGGCACAGATGCCCGCTTGTGGCTCCGCCTTTCTGGCTGTTCAGAGCCTTGGCTGCTGCCTAAACTGGGTAATTTTCCCTAGTCCCTTTCAGGGTTGGGGTGTCGGCTGGGTGCTCTGAGATCAGACCAGTCGTTTCCCTCCCTGTGGGTTTGCACCTGCCAGTGAAATGCAGTCTCGGGTGCCTGGTGCCCTGGTGCCCACAGTTCTATCTGAGGCGTCAAATCAGGCACGCAGGCAGGGCTCCGTGCAGGCGCCTGGGTCCCGGCTCTGGGTCCGGGCTGGCTCTTGGGGCGCCCGCGGAACCCGAGTCTTTTCCAGGGGATGTCTGGGTAACCTGAGGTCAGTCCCAATCGTTTCCTGCTCTGTGGGGTTATCTCTCGACTGGGAAATCCAATCTATGGTGTTGTGGGTTCACACTTCAGTCTGGGACCATGACCAGATCACGCTGGGGTGTAGCTCTGGTCTGGCGACCAAGCACCTGGCAGAACCGGGATCTCTTCCGCAGTTTAGCTGATTGAATCCCCCCCCCAACAGCGTGGGGTATCCTCTCACCTGTGAAACACAATCAATTGTGTTTTATGGCCGAGAGTTCTGATTGCTGGTCAATGTGCCAATCCTGCTATGCTGCTCCTCCTAGACTGAACTTTTAAATGTGGGTGTTTCCTTCTACACACTACTTTACCTTCATAGTTTGGGATTAAAAGCCTGTACCACAACACCTGGCCTACAATATTCTTTACCTGAAACAAACTTTCCAAAAGACTGTGGCTGAAGTTAATGAGTCACTGGCCTTCTCCATGTTTCTTGCTCTCTTTCACTCCAGGGTACTACAGCTCCCACCCTCAAAATTTCTAGACTTGTACTATCTCAAGTCTCAAGGCTGGATATTGATTCTCTGTTATTGAACCTCGGCACAGATTGTTTATACTTGGCTAGATGAAATAGGTTCAATCTATAACCAAGGCTAGACTCAAACTACAGATG